TTGCTGTCATCATTTCGGTCAAACGTCTGATAACCTACTAGCTGTTTCGCTTGCTTCCATTATCTTTGCTTTATATGGTCCAATTCTGTTTCAAGAGCAAAAAAAGATAATTAAGTTCTTGTGTGGTACCCATAATATATTATATAATTCAGATGTAAGGCATCTTGCAATGGGCTTAAAAGATTAACTTCCCACTCTCGTTTTCTTACTTCACTTGAATTTTCTTTTTTCATAAAGTCTAATCAATGCATCCATATTTGAACGCATTATAGACATTCAAAACAAACAATAAATCCAAAAGTCTATTTGCAATAAAAGAATCTTCAAACTCTTGTATCTATTTTTCAAAAAGCAAATCTTGTAATAAAAATATGTTAAATGCCTAGGAAAAAAAATGGGACAATTTTTCTTGTAGGAACTGAACTGGGGCTATTTATATAGGGCTATTACTTGTATTACATCCATTGAACTAAAAATTGAGATACAAGAAAATAATGTAGTCAAGAACCAACTCTGATGTACAATTTGGAAAAAATTGTTTTGAAATAATTAAGAGTCTCTAAATAAATTAAATTTTGACATATGAGACTGTGGTACTTTTATCAACTGGTACTATTGATTTAATTAAGGATCTAAAACTTAATTAAGTTATTTAGACATTACATTTTAGGAATAAATGAACATAGGTGGACAAAAAGTAACCACACTTTAAATCAACTGTATTATACTGTATTACTTGAAAAATGAGACCCTACAAGAGAGTAACACTGTTAAGTAGATGCTAGTTTTTATGCAAGTTACATTTACTCAGAATTTGCTAAACTTACCCCGAAGTTCACAGCAACAGAAGTCAGATTACAGGCATGTTTCAGAAACGGCAGAGGACATGGGATAAGATAGTTAGCTTAACATAGTTAACATGAGAGAACAAGAGAATACAAACCTATACTTTATTGAAAAGTTATTGTATCTATTTGTAGTTGTTCGTGTCAAAATATATTAAGGCAAATGTGTGTGCAGAAATACATTATGGTTAATTTTGGAGGGACTATTACAATAAATGACAACTGTGAAATTTGGGTTTTGGGGAAATTCAGTTGTTCAAGAATAGCGATGGACATGAGAGGAAGATGCCTATTATCTTTATATCAATGTATCTCTTTTTTAACAATGACCACATTGGAAGATAGCAGTGGAAATAAAAAGTGGAGGCAAAAAAGTAATAGTTTGAGATATGTAGACAATGCCACTATATTAGCTGGTATTATTTTGGATTAAATTGTAAGAATAAAAAATGTAAAATTTATTATAATATTAAATACTAAAGCCAACCAATATTCTCAAGTGAACACAAAGTTTATGGCAAAGAAAATAATAATGAAAGATAAGCATTTATTCGGCAATAAATAAGAATTGAAAAGTTTTTTCAGTAGCTATGTGCGCCAGTTTAAGATACACATTGAGAAAGTATGACCTCAAACTGTGGATGTGGGGTACTAAGAATACAACAACCTATTGAAGAACTAGTCTATTGACCCTATATCAAAAAAGGATAAGAACTTCCTTGAGAAAATAAAAACATATTTTGGTCATATGACAGAAGTCAATGATGGATTAGAAAAACTTGCTGTGCTACACTTGTGGTTGAAAAAGTAGAAAGCTCAAGAAAGGGAACAGATAAAGTATATTGCATGAATAAGACCAAAGAATGTTTTCTCAAGTGTATTCTCACAAGACATACGGGTTTATTATTGGAGACAGGTTAAGATAATGTACCATTTGTGCAGTATTCAGAAATGAGACCTAATTGGTACATAGGCGTGAAACATGTTTTTGAAAAAAATGTGTATCTTAATTCTGAGGCTTTCATTTCTGCTTTAAAAATGGTGCTCTGAGAATTATCTCCCATTTCAAAAAATGGAAGCTGAATGACTAAATAGCAAAAGCAAAAATTAGATGTACAAATACATGAATCCAACATACCACACAATGGAAAAGTTCAGTAAAATGTATTGTTTAGAAACAAAACTACACATATTTGTGAAATGCATACCTTAAAATGAATGATAAAATTCCATCAGTACATAAATATGACACATATATAACATCCAAATCAAACAGAAATAAAACTCTTTAGGGCTATTTCTTTTTCTCTGCATCTTACTGCCTTAAAATGGCATACAGTTTTCATGTTCACTTTTATACCCACGGAAGATTTAGATACAAGTTGAAAAATTCATTTTGGTACCATTATTGTTCATTACTTGCTTAATATTTCTAAGTCATTGTGATACACAAACCATTATTTCCAGAAGAATGAGTGTGGGAGAAAGAGCATAAATGTTTGACACAGAATCATAACCCAGGCCCCATTCCTCTGTACACAATACATGTATAAGATCAGATCTTAGAACATGACACATCCATTGTCTTACTAGTTCATGCCTTGCAGATGTTGCTGATTTATACAGCTCCCATCACATTTAATCAAGTACTCTAAATAATAATAAACTAATGCTCATTATTGTGGCGTGTATCAATTCTTCAAACAGCTGTGTAGCACTTACAATTAGCAGGAATAAAAAATGCTTGAGCCCACAAATCCTTAGTGGTCAAAATCGCAATGACAGCAGCATAACTGAAACTCCACATCTTTTGGGTGTTGATATTGTGCATACTGTATACAGAAAGAAAAGGGGCTTTGATAGCACTGCCATGACATCCTAATTTTGTTGATGATCCTCCCTGCCCCACAGGCATTGCTGCATGGGCCACATCTGGAACTTTCTGAAGTAGCTGTACTTTTAGCAGAGAAATCTTGTGCCTAATGGTACTTCATTTTCAGCCAAGTCAATGCTGATTTTTCCCCCTCAGACTTAAATAAAATAATCCTTTGTTTCACGGTCTTTGGTTTCAGATAAATTTCAGGCTAGAAAAAAGCATTAGGTTATAAATAATGATTTCAATATACATGTAATCACATCTGTATATGAAAATATATAGGCTGAACATTTTAATTTGTGAACGTTTGTATGCCAGTGTCAAGGTTCTATATGGTTTATAATAACACAAAAAAAACCTCTAAAATATTCATAAACCCAAATAATTAAAAATCAATTAATGAAATTATTAATACACAGTTATATCAGGCAGATCTGAATCCCCTTCAGAATGCTATTTTCATCACAAAAATGTGTACATCAAACAGACATAAAATGAAACTGTACTTTAAGCATCAGATTAATGTATAAGGAAGAATAAGATTATTGATTATTCATAAAATGTGGTGTGTCCAAAGTAAGAATTGTAATAATTCCAAAGGCAGCTAAATTCTACAGGCCTAAATATCAATTCCATTTTACCAAGATTTAAATCTAATCCAATATTCTCCTTTTTGCAACTTCAGACAGTTACCAAAGGAAAGTTATGAAGATGATGATAAATTGTCATGTTGAATTTCATTTAGCTTAAATTACATGTTATATTGGCATTGAAATGCATAATAGTAGATTGTACGTCTATGGGATCAAAAATGAAAACACAAAGGATGAGTTATAGCCAACATCTAAAAAAAACTTTGCAGCTAACTTTCTTATCACTAGTTTCCATGTCATGTAGAATGGACCTTCATAACCAGCTACATAATTTCTAACATTATTTGGAATGAGTAGATATTTTCTATGAGAATATAAGGAATACCAAACTAAACTGATCACTAGTAGATTTTAAATAAATGGAAATACTTTACACAAAAGCTTTACTGTCTTCCCTTAACTGCTGCTCTCTGCATGTACTGGACTTCAATTTCCATAATTCCAAACCAGTATTCTGGCTGCAGAATATGAACAGTGCAATCTCATCACACCGCATTACCTCATTGCAGTAGGAAATCAATAGGAAAAGAAATAGTGTATACAATCCTTCAGGTTTAAGACAGTTTCCATTTAAATTATCTAGAGCAAGGATGTCAAACTCACAATGACACATGACATATCACAACTTTTTCCCCCTTTGCTAAAATCGGGGTGGGCAGCGTGTGAAGCATCCAGCCTGTGGGTCGTGAGTTTGACACCCCTGATGTAGAACATACCCATAGCTACAACCATTATGTGGAAATTAATTATTTTAGCACTATAATGTGTCATGCCATGACAAAATGTTCTAGGAGATTCTGGAATAGAAGGCTATAGCAAATAGGATTTATTCTGTCATTTAGTTTTTTATACCATAAAACTGGAATCCTTCTTTGTCAGAGGAAGTTCTTAACCATGTATGCAACTGTGATATGTTGATAAAATAGAAATGTTTCAGAATTTCATCTGTTTAGCAAGATGAAAACACAAGTTGAACTGAAAAGAAAAAATGTAAGTGTTTAAAATATACTTTTGAATATCTTTTCAACCACAAAGTCATTTTTCACAAAAATGACTTTGGATTCCTGAATGATATCCCTGAGACCGAATCTGCTCAGAAGGATATACCCAATATCAAGTTCTTGCTCATTTTATTAAAGTGGCACAATGCCTACAAGTGGACCATCATTTTTATGTCAAATTCTAAAGCAGTTAGAGTCTGGGTTGGAAATTAAACAACCAATTGTAAGTAGTTGTGTCAATTCGCCTTTTGTATTTCTGATTCCCTATTTTATGCTATAAAACCATAGAAATCCTTCATGTTATTTCATTCAAACAGAATGAAATGGAAAATTGTCAGATTGTTGTTTCATTTTGGGAGTAGTTTACATTGCTGCTGTATCTATATATGCAATTAGTTTAGACTATTATCTAATATTGAGTCTATTCTTTATTATTGATTTTTGCAAGTGTTAATTTGTCCTGAATATTAATTTTGCTTGAATCCATATTTAGCTAAAATTAATTCAAATAGTATTTCAAATTGAAATCCTAATGAGGTACATATCACAAAGTAAAAAGTCAGATACAGAACAGGCTACATATTCAGAATAAAATTATGTATTTCAAGTAAAATATTTTCAGAGATTTCAGTCCCCATCCAGAGACAGATAAACAGCATATTTATTTATTTAAGTTACATCAAGCAAAATGAAAGTAAGCCTTACAACCAGGAAAAGCAATGTGGGGTCAGTAATTGAAAAGCAGTAATAACTACTTTAATAAATAATGAAAATATGTTGCTTTCATAGTAGTAAAATTATAGAACAAATATCCTTGGTATTAGATTACACTTACTATTAAGACTCAATATACTGCAGTCAACAGGATTGAAAAAGTTAATTTGTGAGTAAATTAAATTTCTCCTTGAGGTATGACCTGTAGAATTCACTCTAGAGTTTGGATATTCAAATAATGATGATTACCATTAAAAGAAAATCTTTCCAAATAGCAAGTTTAAAAAATAACTATAATGAATCATACACAGCTGAGATAGTTTGAACAATTACATCTCATTCTTCAATATGCGTTGCAATTACATCATTCTCCCAGTTACATAAATACTACCTTTCCAAACCATACTTCTTATCCACTTACAAAATAAGAATCTGAAAATAATTACTATATCGGCATAAATAGTAAGTTCTCTAAATAGGATAAAGGACAAAACAACTAGAAAATGAATGGTTGATATTTGGATACAAAATGCAAAACCTTATGGATGGATACAGTGTCCAGTGAAAGGACAATTAACCATTATTGAATCCCTGTATATTTTACTTGAAATCTGAACGATAAAATCTAGCTGTAACATTACACGTCTGAAATTGCTTCCCGAGAAAACAAGCTAATGTTCACAGATGTAACTATCATATTCTTGAGGTCCTTAAATATTATATACTAAATTTAAGATGCATTCCCTTCTTCCTTTGTTAGTTCAGCTCCCAGACAAGTTAATGTCTGATTTAGCAGCAGACATATTCCAAGTTTTCTTATGAGGAATATACATCTCTTTCAGAAAAATATATATAAGTAGATCATTCTGAAGAGTAGAAAATTATTCTGTCATGATTGAGAAAAAATATTATCAGAGAGGAACATGTTTCTCCTTACCTGCCCTATATTTTCAGTAAGGTATTTATTCTTATTCTATTGGGCTGTTCTGGCAAAAAGAAAGAATACAACCCAAATCATCAGAATGCAAAAATTAAAACTAGACACTGATAATAAATACAAAAAGAAAAATGGACATGTTCAATTATTGGTTAAGAAAAACAAATTATCAAAGATAGGCATATTGGAGAACATACTTTTATTCATATTTTCTTTTAGACTGGAAAAAGTTTCTAATGTGATTTATTTCTATCTCTCACTCTTGTGAATGAGGATTGGACTGTGCAGTGCTTCAGATCAGATCAGGAACAGGGGTTTTGGAACATGCAGGAATGCAAAGAAAACCTGTCTACAACTTTTTTTTCCCCTTGGACTGCATGGCAGCTTTAAAGTGTTACAGATAGATGTTGTATTCATACTTCCATGTATTCCAGAGCACCTCTTCTGCATAAAATCAGAAACAGTCCACAGTCTTTGTTCTTTAGCATCTAGTGAAGCCACCAAAACCTAATATTTATAAAGATGCTGAATTCTATAAAAACCATTGCCGCATATTTATTTTATCAAAAGGGGTGATTTATTTTAACTCAAATGAATTTCAAAACAGTGTATGGTAACTATTCATAACTTTCCAAATACCAATAGCCTTCATGCTATAAAGATATTTAGGGCAGAAAAATAAACAGCTCCACTCACAGTTCACCAAGCTACTGTTTCTAGACAAAAACAAAAAGGAGCAAAGTTCTGATGTATTTTGATTTAATCCACTTTGCCTGAGATAACAAAAATATTTCAAGCAAGCTCCATCATAGGTCCTGCATTAAACAATCCTCTATTAAATTCTGAACATGTTCAGCGAGTTCTGAATTTTAAAATTTTTTACAATTGTTTCAAAACCATTAAGTAGTAGTAAATGTTTAAGAAACTAATTAGGACAGAGGCCATAACTTCATTAGAACACTATTGCTCTTTTTCCCCCCAAAGCATTAGTGTTACCTATTTGGCTATTAGTAGTAGCAGTTTTATCTACAATATTTAACAAGGTAAGTTGCACGCAAAAATTTTAGTACAGTTTCAATAGAAACACCCTTTCCTGAAAATACAGCAGTATTTGATGGACTATTTTTTTCTACATCATTTGTAAGGAAACTTCCCATCTCTGAACAGGAACAAAAAAGTATCTACAAACCTTGTAAACAGATCTGCATTATTTATAAACATAAATAATTCAAATTATTAACAGCCAAGAGCAGAAATGAAAATTATAAATTTGGTGATCCTGGGCTCTCCTGCCCAATCCAGCCCTCTCATCAAAGGAATTAAGAACATAAGTTCAGGTAAGACATTCTTATGGGCCATTCTTAAGTACAGCTAATGATCCACAGGACACATAAGCAAGTTACTGTTTATCTGTCAGAGTTCATTATTACTCCCACTTTCCCCTCCCCAAGAAAAGCACCCTGAAGTCTGGCAGAAAGCTTCTTTTTAAAAAAATAAATCTACATTCGTACAATTTTATCTTCTTGTTGAAGTCCGAGACAAGAATACCATCTTGTCCATCGTAGTGAGGGAGAAAGCCCAGTTTCAGTGTGTTTCTTTAAATGCAGCTAGTGTGTTAACATTCAGCATACAATCAGAGTGATGTTTCCAAACTATGCAGTGGGCTCCCTGGGGATGAAGAGGTAGCAGACTTACTGAAGTCTGTCGTAAGATGAATTCCACTATTAACCGCATTGTTATTTTTGTTGGGTGATGGTGGAAGAGGAGTTGAGTTGCGCTTTGTTGGAGCATCATCTTCAGCATCAGTATCATCAATAAGTGGAATATGAGTTTCAGAATCTTCTATTCTAAACTCAGGATGAGTCATAAAATTGTGGATTGAACTTCGGGACTCAGGTTTTTCCAATCCTTCATATAAGGAACTACGAAATGCATTCACCACTCGAATCTGTGAGTATGAAAAGCACAAATGTTATTGTTTAATAATATTATCCCTAGGGGAATGTTTATGAGGTTGAATCCACATAGGTAAGATGAATGAATTGAATTTATACAATGCAGTGGAACTTGCAATAAACTGTAAAAAAATAAAAATGAAAAGCATTTCCGAACAGCACTTTCAGGCTATAACAGAAATAAATGTAAAAAAAAAAAATTGGTTCAAAATGTCAAGCTGCAAAATTGAAGCTATCTACTTTTATAATTAATATGAAATGTCAAAAATATTAAATCAGTTGATAAATTCTACTCTTTTAAAGACAGATGAATATTAGACTTTTAGAATATGGAATTATAGACTACTAGCTGGACTTTAAGAATTTTAAGTTTGTTTGTTTTTTAAACAAATGCTGGGAACTGTGGTTCGAGCTATGCAAATGCTGGATTTAATCTAAATATTTGAGTATATGTCACATAAAATACTTTCATAGAAATATGCTCAAATGACAAAAATATGAGCTGACTCAGAATTATGCAAACATATTTTAAATACCTTTGGATATATTTTAAGCTTTTTGCTTCAAATATCCCAGTTGCCATTTTTATATACAGTAAGTTCTAGATCATCACTAGAAAATAAATGTGTCTCATCAAATTAAAATTAATGGTATGCACAAGCCTAGCTAAACATTTTTATTTATTTGGTTTTTGGTGTTTTGTGAGGTTGATTCTCTTCCTACAGACATTTCATTACCAAAGTAAGTAACTGATGATGTCATCTAGTTTTGGTAATGAAACAAAAAGAGACAGATTTTTTCTGAAACTGGTATTTGCTCAATTAAGACTTCCCATATCCTTCATATGCCAATAGAGTCAATGCTGAAGCTGCTGTAGATATAAACAACTCTAGTTCTTTTCCCAACTTCACTCTATAGCGGGGGTGTCAAATTCAAGGCCAGGGGCTATATCCAACCCACAGCATGCTTTGATCTGGCCCATGGGGCTGCTCTGAAAACAGCAAAGGACTGGCCCATGTTGCCTCTGCCAGCAAAAACGGAGCTTGAGGGCGGCAGAGGGTTGCAGGAGGCCGTCGCAGCCGAAAATGGAGCTTGGGAGCCCATTTTCTTTGGCAAAGCTCTGAAGCCACCACAGGTGCCCCCTACATGAGTGACTCGCTCTGGCCACACACACTCTTCCCCCCAGGTAAAACAACCCTGATGCAGCCCTCAATGAAATTGAGTTTGACACCTCTGCTCTATAGCTTCTCCCTGTTCAAAAGAGCTCCAACATTTTGTGCCCCAAACTGTGGTTGTAGTGAGATAATTGAAGTAAATTGTGAGGCATTTCAAATTATTGCTTTCAAAAATTGATGAACAGTAAGAAAGATGCTTTTTACAAATATTAATGAAAAGATCCTATAAACACAGGACATTTCCATTAATATTTAAGTTGGAATATGTAAGGAAAGGAAGCTAACACCACAATTAATAATGAAGAAAACAAAGACTATAAATAAAAAGGAAAAAGGCTTTTACTATCTATAATAAGTAATCCAGAATAGTCCTCATGTTTACAACTTCAATAGTATGAAACCCAGTGTATGATCAACCTACATTCAGAATATTTAACTTAAGTCTGATATTATATGCACTATATTTTGTGTATGTCTACTATTTCAAATGGAACTTTAAATTATAATCCAAAGACATTAAAGTCTCTTTTGGAAAGCAATGTCTATCAAAAGCCCCCATTAGAAGCCAGATGGAACAGATCTATTTCTTATTTCTGTCTCTATAGTTCTTTTTCACTTGTGCCATGAACGTAACCTATTTATAGAATGGCATATTATATATATATTTCCATAACTAAATATTGCAATTCCACTTAGGCATTACATGATGGAATGGTCATCATGTGACATTCTGAATAACATGCCTGTCAGTGAAGACTTTCTTACCTGTAAACATCACCACTGACTATGAGGATGTCTCCAAAAGGCTAATGTCATTTCAATGGCATTGTTGGGAGAGTTGAACAAGGCTTTTATTATCACACTTTTTTTTTTTTACATAAAGGCCATTTTAGTATTTATAGCATAAAATACAATTTATGTATTTTCACTTTAAATACTGTTAATTCTGGAAAGAGCTTAGCACATAAAATAGTGAAAAATATATCTGCTACTTTTGCTGCTGCAAATTAAAGCCCTTTCCCACATGATCTACAAATTATTCTGAAGTTACAGAAATAAGCATGAATTAAACATATTTGGTTTGGGCCAGCTTTAAGCATTTCATTAAACAAGTTTGTAGATCTTTTTGTTTAGAGACTTCAAGACATATACTCAAATATTTGTAGCTATTACTATAAATATTTTTCAAAAATGTCTCTTCTGTGCAAGTATGAAGGTATTATGTGCATGTTAAAGGTTTTTACTGTATAGAATTGTTTCAATTGTTCCACTTGAACTGTGACCCTTGAAAAAGGTAGGGGGGGGTAAGACTCCCATTTTGAAGGTAAAAATGTGAAAAAACGTTAATGATGAATTTAACGACTGAAGGAAAGAATGAAACGTTAGATGCGTGAATTAGGAAACGTTAATTTCATGCACTTATGAACACACACTCACACCCCACAGTAGTAGAATCAGAAGTAGTAGTAGTAGTAGTAGTGGTAGAGGAAAACACTACATGTGTAGGGGTAGAAATATTTGTTACATCATGATGCTGGCTGGCGATGGAAGGTTGCCGCCTTAGGGCCCCCTGAATGGAAGTTCCACTCTGGAAAGCATTCACTACATCCATCTGCAAGGAATCAGAGATTGTGACAGCTTGCTCAGCAAGAGAGAGAGAGAACAAGAGAAAGGAGCATCCCATCTACAACACATAAAAAGCAAAGAAAAAAAGGCACTTTTATAGAGCAGGTAAAGAGGCGAGAAGCACATTTGGTGATGAAGTAAAGAAGGAATTTGAAGGTTTAAACAGCTAATACTTTTCCCATATAAAGATTTCAGTCACACATTTTATGACTACAATTCAAACCAATACTAAGAACAATGAGGAAATGTCAAGTCCTCAACCCTATTTCCTACCTTTACAAGACCATACCTGAGTTTGTATCCTGTTTAGACCCCTAAACCATAAGATCTGACCACGCCTTAGCTCTCTTTCAGCATGATCAATTTCTTCCACATCTTCTGCTAACTCTTCTTCAGGAATCTCTTCCTTTTGTGTTCCGTGGCCAGCTTCTTTAAGGAATTTCAAATGACTGGTTGGAATAGTTGATATCAACTATAACAATGGGAAATAAAAAAAACCACACATTTATGAAAACTTTCCCTTATGTTCAAATTCCCTTTTAGAATTAGTGACAGATTCAGTCGCCCTTCCTTTAAAGGGTTCAAATAAAAAACAGCTAGCTTAAAGTTTTTCACTGTTTTTTTGGAGAGGGATTAAACAAATCGTAGCTAGTCAATATTGCAGCATAATACAGGGCGGGGCATAACCTTTTCCTAGGGGGTCACAGCAACACTTGTAATAACAACACAAATAATTCATACACCATTCGAAAGCCCATCAAAAACTGAGTTTATTGACACGATTTAATAGTCAGTATGACCACCATTAGCCCTTCGAACAGCATTCAAACGAGGTGGATAAGAACACAACAAATCTTCAAACAGTTCCGTTCGATTTTCCAGATTTTTCAACACAGTTTCCAAATTCATTCTCAAAGTTTCAACCGAAACAAATTTAACATTTAATAGCTCATTCAATTCAGTTTTTTATGGGCTTTAAAATGAGGTGTCGCGGAAGTTGTAAACTGCTGTCGATCTTGCTGTGACCCCCTAGGAAAAGGTTATGCCCCGCCCTGTACTTCTATGCATTTAGATGCATAATGATAAGATTGTATTACTTGCTTTCTTTTCTATATACTGTTCTGAAATTTCAAAGTTTAAAACAGCAATAGCAGAGCAGCAATGAGAAAATTAATGACAGTGAAAAAAGCCATATACTGAGTAAAATGCATTCTAAAACACAAGCTTTGGTATTTGAGGAATTGAACTACAAAAGTAGTATTACGTACCTGGCCCCAAAGAAGTGTTCCCATGCCTAGAAAAATTGACCACAACCAGTGTTCTACTGTAAGCTCTGAGCAACTGAAAGGCTTCCCACCAAACTGTACAATAACTATCTGTTAAGAAAAATAATGATTGCATTAGCTATTTGAAATGATTAAACAATGAAGGTATTGGCTTTTATGATAGAATTTCAGTAAGTATTTAAAAAGATTGTAATTCTAGCCATTACATGAACCAATTCATAAGTAGACAGAGGACATATGTCATTGGAATGGCTTGCAATTTTGCTGTCCGTTGTAAAAAGATGTTTTCTACTGTACCCTAAGCTTCACAAATCCAAGGTTATCTTCTATAGCTTCCAATTTTCACTGTGTACTTCCAGATAACATTGACTTTATAAAAACTTATTACTCTTCTCAAATCATATTAACAAATGTATAGACATTAGGCCAAAATGAGACAAGCTGTGTTCCTTCCATTATTTTACGTTTCTAGCATACACAACAGATCGTCAACTTCTAAACATTATCTGCTTTCCCTTCAGAATATATAAACTTTTTAGTTTTTACTTAAGAAGAATATATCGTCCTACACCAGAACTTCCAGGGTTATTTATGTCTGGGGCAAAAGGTTTCACAAGTGGGCTCCATCACGGAGATGATTTCCTTGGATTGAAGGAAAACCTGAAGGAAGTCTTTCAAAAATAATTATAATATATAGCTATGTTATAAATAACCCTATCTTGTGTTTCAAGATAAATTATTAACACTTTTGATTTTTATAATACCAAATTATAGCAATAGTCTTATATATTTCTTCATAGTGCTTTATGGCACCCTCTAAGTGGTTTACAAAGTCAGCATATTGCCCCCAACTATCTGGGTCCTCATTTTACCAACCTTGGAAGGATGGAAGACTAAGTCAACCTTGAGCCAATCAAATTTGAACTCCTGGCAGTGGACAGAGTTAGCCTGCAATACTGCATTCAAACCACTGCACCATGATGGCTCTTATTATGTGAACACATTCTAATTCTCAAGCTTGCTATAAGCCAACATGAGTGTGATATGAACATATACATCTTTAGCAGAAATATTAAAATTAACAATAACACAAACATATTTTTGTAAGCATACTATCAATGATAAAACCTCATTTGCACAGATCAAATAATCTTCTAATGAGATACACACAGGTATGTTTTCCATTTAAAGAAATTCTGAACTTATCAAGGGGTGTCCTATCCTAATATTAATTATACAGACAGCAATCATTGGCCTCTAAAAACTTTAACCCTCCAAATTCTGCATGACATTATTTTAAAAAATCTACCCACCTGTACAATAAATGTTCCAAGGACTATAGTACAGAATATAGCATTATTGAAAATGCCTTCAAATACATTCCTTTCACCATGAATTTTTCGGGCATTTATTTCATTAAATAGCTGCATCATCACAAATGTATTAAACACAATTGTGTAGTGCTCTGAAGGAGGAGCATGAAGAGGTGCATTTCTTCCACTATCAATATCAAATATTTTTTCACCTGCAAACAAGAGATAAATATTCTCAAAATGCCACTCAAATTCATGTTTTTGTAAACATTGCTTTAGTCTTCTGTTAACATGTCTTTCTCCTTTAACATTCTATTAACATATCAATGTCCCTTAGCATTTCTTTAAATATTGAAGAAATGCTCACAATAAAGCAAGCAGGGTTCAGAAGGTACTGTATACCAGAGATTTAAATTATAATATTCTTACCAGCAAACAACAGTGTGAAGACAACCACAAGCTGATAGAAAGCATGACCCAGAATATTCTTCATCATGGTCCGTGAGATGAGAGGTTTGTTTCTACCATAAGGTTTTCTCAGCAAAAGTGCTTCTGTGGGGGGTTCTGTTGCCAAAGCAAGTGAAGCTAGGGTATCCATTATGAGATTTACCCATAACATCTGTACAGCTTTAAGTGGAGAGTCCTGAAAAATTAACATGTTTTCTAATATAATCACAAATATCCTAAGAAATTAAATTATCTAACATTTAATATTACCAATCAGGCTTTATTATTGTACTTTAAACTGTGATGTAGTTATTAAGAAGTTAAGCTGAAACTAGAAAAATCCATCCAGTTTCTAGTTCTATATTAGCCATGGATCCTCACTGTGTTACTTTGGGCAGTTACTCTTTTTCAATCCAGCTCTCTTATAGGAACATTGTTATGGGATAAGGAGATTTGAGAGCCTGATGAACTCCTGGAGAAACGTGAGACATAAATCTACCAAATAAGAAATCACTTTCAAAATTAACTGCATTGATTCAATCTGTTTTAATCCCATTACATGCAAATGAATACATAATACTTACTTGTGTAATACATGCTCCCGTGAAAGCAACAATTACAGCTACTACATTAACAGTAAGCTGGAACTGAAGGAATTTGGAGATACTATCATACACATTTCGCCCCCACATAACTGCTTTAACAATGCTTGAGAAGTTGTCATCTGTAAGAATAATATCAGAAGCTTCTTTAGCTACATCAGTTCCAGCAATACCCTGAAAGAGAAAAAACAAAACAAAACAAAATTACGTATGATCCTTGAATATTATGACAGCCAAAATTATATACTACTTACTTTTATACCCCCCTATCTGTTATTAGTCACAAAAATAAGGAAGAATAAAGAGGTATGTCATTCTTCCTGCTGTCTGCCAAGCGTGGAGGAGAAGACTTTCTTTATGGCCGGCGTTTTATCCAAAGGAACAGAGTAGGGGCAGGTTCCTTCCTATTTGTTCTTCCAATCCATTTATTTGCTATCATACAATTCCTGTGAATTGTAAATTGCCATGGAAGTAATTACATGGCGTAATTAAACAATTCTTGAAAACTCTGGATTAGAGCTAATAATTTTGTTTCTTCTTTAGTATACTTTTAAAATCTTGAATAGTGGAAAAATACCCATTAGCATGAAATTTAAGGAAGCTCAGAATTATTTTGTCATACTCACTTTTTTAAAGTAGATATTATAATATCAATATTTATGCAAAAAGATTAACTGCCGTGGAAGCTATTATGAAAAATCTTATTGATGATTCTATCGTAAAAACTGAATTCAGTGGTGCTTAGCTAAATATATCTATGTATATAACTGCAATACTACAATATCGTAGAGTTTTTGAAAATATTGAATTTCTTTCTACAGGTAGTTCTCGGCTTACAACCACAATTGAACCCAAAATTTCCACTGCTAAGCAAGGCAGTTGTTAAATGAGTTGCACCTCATTTTAAGACCTTTTTTGCCAGAGTTTTGAAGTGAATCTCTGCAGTTAAGTGAATTATGTAGTCATGAAGTGAACCTGGCTTCCCCCAATGACTCTGTTTGTTGGAAGCCTGCTGGGAAGGTTAAAATGATGATCACATGACTCTGGGACAGTGCAATTGTCATAAAATACATGCCAGATGCCAAGCAATTAAATTGGTCATTAAGTCAAGGACTACCTGAAATGGAAGGGAATTAAAAATGATGTGCCATTTTTCAGCTATAATAATTTTATAGTATAATGAGAATTACATAAAGATTTCTCTGTCTTCGTTAACATTTTGCTCATTTCATGCTTAATTGAAAAAGTAAAAAATGGCCATTATGTTAAGTAGCTTTGACTTCTAATTTAAGATAACCCTCAAAGCCAGTAGATGGCACAGGAGAACAGCTTCTGAGAATTTAATTTATACTAATTAAATTCCTCATAGTCTAGGTCAAGGAGGCAGTGTGCAGTATGTTTTAGATTCAAGGTGTGGTTCCTTAAAACTTTGACAAATCATTTGAGAAACAGATGATATTTAACTATTCAGAACAAGACATTTGTTACTAATATCATATGCAATAATACAAGCTTGCCTGTTTTCCTCAGTGCCTCAATTAAATGAAAATATGTTATACAAAATTTGCATGACAATGAAATGGAAGTACCTGCAACTTAAGCGCTCACAGGTATACCTGATTTCTTAGAATCAGAAAGACTATCTGACTACTCCTTAGAAAAAAAAGTTACCCAATTCCACATTATTAAAAAGGTGTTGAGAATCATTTGATTGTTTATTATCCTGCTAAATAATATAACTGACACCAAATTATAATAAATAAAGGACCACATTTATCTTAGATGCCCATTATTACAAAAAGCAAAGGAAAATAGAAGAATATTGATCTTAGAATTATGTACTCAATGAGTTTAAAGTTAAGATGGAACACATTACAACCCTACACCAAACTTTAAAATGGTTATCTTTGTGAAAGTATTTCCAGTTTTAAGTTGATCCTGTGATTCCCTCCCCAGTCATTTAGTATCATTCTCAGAAATATTCCAAAAATTGTACCTATTTCAACTAATAACTTAACAGAATACATATATCATCTAACATTTTTCTACATTCTTCACATCAATAATTATATATAATTTCAGATTTACTCTCAAGAAAAATTGAAAACATATTTTGTTATTTTTAGCCTCTCTCTGAACGTTAAGTTGTGGAATGTTAAGTTGTGGAACTCAACTGCTGTTTAAATTTACATACAAGGATATTGACATCAAATTTGGACCTCCTCATTAATTGTGCAATTATCCCAAGGTAATCTTAGCAGAGAAGGATAATGAACACAGGAAGCTACAATCCTGCTTTGCCCACTGCTATATGTAAGCTAATTTTGTTCAATCTTCAATATAATGTTAACATTATATCACAGACATTTCAGTTTATAAAAGCACTTATTAGTAACAATTATAATATTTGTTAAACTCCTTACCATAGCAAAGCCAACATCTGCTTTTTTTAACGCTGGTCCATCATTGGTTCCATCACCAGTCACTGCTACAACTTGCCTTTGTTCTGACACTGTGCTATCGATTATTCCTAAAAACAACAAGTATTTGTTACAACAGTACATATTTATATTGTTATAATAGTACATATTTATACTGTTACAAATTTCAGTAATTTATCCATTCATTTACTGAAACTGAATAAATGTCTATCTAAATCCAATATTTATACTGCACAGTAAGATATAGTCTTCTATTTCTCAAGAGCATTTCTAGCTATTGAAGAACCGATTGACCAAAAAGCTGTCTGTAAAATCTGTTAGAAAAAGTATTTACCTTTCACCAGTGTATGTTTGTCAGTGGGAGAAGACCTTGCAAGTACCCGAAGTTTTGGCCAAATTTTGTCTATTCGCTCCTGTTCTATCTGTAAAGATAGCTTAGATTAATTTCATAACTAAGTTTTCATAAGTCAAAAAAAGAATATTAACCATACCCACCTCTCCTTTTTCATTACGTATTCGTCTATTGAATTCCTTGCCTTCCAGGCATAAGAAGTCTTCGCCAGGATGCAAAATACTACATTTTAATGCAATAGCACGAGCAGTGTTAATATTGTCACCAGTAACCATACGGACAGTTATACCAGCACGCTGGCATTTTTTAATTGCATCTGGTACCTAAGGAGAGGGAAAAGCTAATTATGTAGTAATTTCTCAGCAATGATTAATTTAAAAAGAGTTAACCTGCTTTTGGCTAAAATACTAAGGTTTAATTCCATGTATGTGTCAATAATTTTATGTTATTTAAGTTTCAATGCTGATATATTTTACATATATTTCATCATGTGCCATTAAATTATTTTCAGTTCCTAGTGACCACGTAGGTTTCGTCTATGATCATGTATCCCTAACTTCTTCTTTCAAGTCCTAAAGATATACATTAACTGTGATACGTGACTATAATGTTCCTAAGGTCACAGTTAGGCAATTGATATCCTCCCAATGTTTGGGAATTAAGCTCCCATCAATCCCTGAAGTAAGTAATCTGGAAATTGCAACTTAACATCTTAGAAGGGCACTAATACAATTCCTGGTACATATGAGACAGTCAGCTCATTGACTATGTTACTCACAGTGGTGGGTTTCAAAAATTCTTGGAACCTCTTCTGTAGGTGTGGCCTGCTTTCCAGGTCCACTGGTGGAACCTCTTCTAACCGGTTCCGTAGATTTGACGAATCGGTTCTACCGAATAGGTGCGAACTGGTAGGAACCCACCTCTGGTTACTCAGTATAAGATTTTATGCTTACTCTAAGCTGACTTACTAAGAGGTTCAAGTAAAATAAAAAGACTGGAGCATGTTACTGTTTAATTGATGCACAAAGAATTTGTGGCAAAACCTAGTTCTTAGGCAACAGATGTAAAAAATGAAACTATACCAATCACATCATATAGCACAAAACATATTATAACATCTGCATTTTGAAGAAATGGCTTCAGAATTATTCTAATGAGTAAGAACCTATTTCTGTGACTTTAAGCAATTTTAAATTATATATATATATATATATATCTAAGAGTAGTGATTGAATAATATTCACTATAATAGGTATATACATATATATATATATATACACACACATACATACATATACATACACCTATTATAGTGAATATTATTCAATCACTACTCTTAAATAAAGAACAAAGGAAATGTGGGAATTCATCTACTTTCCAAAAACAGTACTAAGAATATCTATTACTCATTTCCAGAAAGGCTTGGAAGACAAGTTTAAATCAATGGTTATTAAA